TTTGAGGTAATCTAATATAATGGTAATATACAATGTGTAGAATAGTCAGTATAAATATGATTGAGGCAGTCCCCTTAATTACCAAGTTATATGGCGAAATGTATATGGTTGATAGGAACTCGCATCAGGAAAAAGTGCACAATCTTTTTCCTAAGTCCATCACATCAACTTTGAAGTATTCTAATGGTTAAACTTATATACAATGTGTAGAATAGTCAGTATAAATATGATTGAGGCAGTACTGTAAATTACGAAGCTATAAGGCAAAATCTATATGTTTGATAGGAATTTGCGTCAGGAGGCCAACGTAGGCCATATGTAGGCCTATATAGGCCTATATAATGTATCATTGAAAATACATTTGCAATGATATTTTCTGATTTTAAAATTTATTTTGTTCTGCATCATCTCATGTTTTGCAATATAACGTTCCATTACGAAATCAGTGGAAAATCCTGAATCAGTGGAAAATGATCTTATATCTATTGTACGAATTGGTGTCTACCTTTTTCACCACTTAGGCCAATATTTTGTCATATTCAGGACACATCATCATAGATTCATGAGATTAGAGTTGGGCAGTTACCGTCATGACAGAAAAGTCATGTTCCTTTTGAACTAGATATCCTCATCCTTTCTAAGATACGTTGATTAACAACAATGCATGTAAACGTCACTATTTACCTAACATTTTACAGTATTTACTTTATGGAAATGCAGCATTGCTTTGTCATTTACATTATTTGTTGCCAATGAAGTCCCATGACCATATGAACGAGGTCCCTCATTTCAAGAATAAAAGCCAGCTTCACTACAAGTATATTCCACTATACCTTACATTCCGAAGACAGATTATATTGAACACTTTATGTAATTGATAAGGCTGAGTGAGTCAACTAACATCCGCATGTCATGGAATCAAAATTATGCTAAAAAATTATTATTGCTAAAATTATATTTTATTATTCATTCATTGACACAGAAGTACGGTATGAAGACCGAAGTGACGGAGGAAAAATAAAACCTAAAAACTACTTAAAAAGTATGAACGTGCCTTCTCAACAAACAGATAAAAAAACACAGATTTAATCTGCATAACTGATGAAATCGCAGAAGTGTGTACCACAAAAGATCCACAAATACGATTCTAATACTAATTAAAGATTCTTACAAAAGCATTCTTCATTTTATTATATTCATCAAACAGAAGAGAAACCAGTTAACATAGGAACAATAACACCTATGACGGACATGACGGTACCTGTGACGGTATGAGAAATATGTTATTCATTGAATGATCAACCATATTTTGTAACTATCGCAATAGTCAAGATTATTGTTTCTACACTTATTTATTACGGTACTCATTAAACTATGCTGAATGCTCACATTTTTTATAATTTAACTCTGTCGAAGTTTGCAGCATAATCGTAATCCTATAAAGCAACCGTCGATTTCGACGGGGTTCACCTAGTACTGATTATTCTACACATTGTATATTACCATTAGAATACCTCAAATTTGATGTGATGGGCTTAGGAAAAAGATTGTGCACTTTTTTCCTGATGCGAGTTCCTATCAACAATATACATTTTGCCATATAACATGGTAATTTAGGGGACTGCCTTAATCATACTCATACTGATTATTCTATACATTGTATATTACCATTAGAATACCTCAAATTTGATGTGATGGGCTTAGGGTCAACATTGTGCACTTTTTCCTGATGCAAGTTCCTATAACCATATACATTTTGCCATATAACTTAGTAATCAAGGGGACTGCCTTAATCATACTCATACTGATTATTCTATACATTATATATTACCATAAGAATACCTCAAATTTGATGTAATGGGCTTGGGGTCAACATTGTGCACTTTTTCCTGATGCAGGTTCCTTAAAACCATATACATTTTGCCATACAACTTCGTAATTAAGGGGACTACCTCAATCATACTCATAATGATTATTCTACACATTGTATATTACTATTAGAATACCTCAAATTTGATGTGATGGGCTTAGGGTCAACATTGTGCACTTTTTCCTGATGCAAGTTCCTATCAACCATATACATTTTGCCATATAACTTCGTAACTAAGGGGACTGTCTCAATCATATTTATACTGATTATTCTACACATTGTATATTACCATTAGAATAGCTCAAAGTTTATGTGATGGGCTTAGGAAAAAGATTATGCACTTTTTATGTTCGGAGTTTTAATTGATCGCGTTATGTTAGGCCATAGCTACGTATAATGTACAGTACGGTCTCAAATATGCCTTTTAAAATACTCCAATTAATTAGTTTTAACGTGTATACACGTTTTATCAAGGTATAATTGACATTATATAAATGTAAAAACATCATTTCGCACCGTTTTGTCATTGAATTGCGTTTCCGACATCCCTGCAATACGCGTTTGAGGCGTCCGCAGGCGTTACAACCCATATCTATTACAATCTGAAAAAGCGCCGATGAAAAGAGCCGCTAACTTCACGACGGTTTTTTACCATTATTATCAATAATAATAGTGATGACTGATGTGCGTTGGGTCTGACTTAGGGGAGGTACGAATGAGGCATTCAGTTCAAAATTCCTCCGTGAACAGCGCTGTAGTAGAGAGTACTTTGGCAATGAAGGTTTACTAATCGCAAAAATAGTTCTGTTCATAAAATAAAATTATAAATGCCTCAAATTCAATTTTATTATTTTTTAATTATAAAATTTAACTATCATAACCTAACCGAACTAACCAAACTTGCTGATAAAGAAATAATATAACAAAAGTTTAGTAATCGGAAAAATAATTCTGTTTATTAAATAAAACTAGAAATTGCTCAATTAAAATTTTATAATGACTTTATAATAAAATTAAACTGTAATAACCGAACCAAACCAACCAAACTTGCTGATAATAAAAAAATCTTGGACAAAAAGTTAATATTACCAGCAGGATTCGAACCCGGGACCTACAGAATATCAGCCCGGCACGCTAACCATTATACCACCGAGGCCGAATGGCTATCAACAGTTTTGTTACGGTAATGGCGTTCCCTCAGCTAATAAGAAGCCCACAGCTGTCATCGTAGCCTCTTCTATACCTCCCCTGAGTAAATACCGATGTGCGTTGCGTATCAATACGTATCGATACAGATATCGATACATGGACCGGAAAATATCGATATTTTGTATCGATACGTGGGAGTGTATCGATATGCCCGTATCGATACACCTATAGCCAATATCGTATCGAATATCGTATTGTTTTTTTTATTAATATAAATCTTATTTTTAAGGTAAAAAAAATTGTCTTCCCAGCTTCCTCCCCTCATATGTATTAGTAGAAATTTGATATTTTACCCTACCATCCTCAAAAACACTGATAAAACCACTGAGCTAAAATTATAACTGGAGGTAGCACTGCCATGGCAGAAGTCTGTCAAAAGCGAGTCGCTGATTTTGTTAGGTTGGTATAGCAGTAAGTTTTCTTACCATAGCAATAACATGGCTTCTTATAACTAGGTTGTATAGCAGTGAGTTTTTTTGTCATAGCAATAACATGGCTTCTTATGGACACCCACCTCACGCAAACATGGCGGCTGGCGACACGCATCTTTGAAATTCAGTGCTACCTCCAGTTAGAATTATAGCTCAGTGGATAAAACATGTATTTTCAGCTGTTTTGCAAATAACCTCAAAACTAGGGCCACCATTAATGGAAGGAAGTGGGGACGCTCAATTTTTATTTCAGCTGCAGTTATTTTAATAAGAACAAAATGAGGGCATTCTATTGGCTGAGGGAACACCATTAGCGCAATGAAACGGAATGAAGCCATCAGCCTCGGTGGTCTAGTGGATAGCGTGACTGGCTTCGAAACTTATGGTACCAGGTTCGAAACCCATTTGGTGCACAAACTTTTTATCTAAGATTTTTGCATTATCAGCAAGTTTGGTTAGTTTTGTTAGGTTATAACTGTTAAATTTTATAATTAAAACCTTATAAAATTGAATTTGAGCTATTTATAGTTTTATTTTATGAACAGAACTTTTTTTCGATTAGTAAACCTTCATTCAATTTTCATTATCAGCAAGTTTGGTTAGTTTGGTTAGGTTATCACAGTTTAATTTTATAATTAAAAAATATAAAATTTAATTGGAGGCATTTATAGTTTAATTTTGTGAACAGAATTATTTTTTCTATTAGTAAACCTTCATTCAATTTTGTCATTATCAGCAAGTTTGGTTAGTTAGGTTAGGTTATGACAGTTTAATTAAAAAATTAACTATATATTTTTTTAGTTTTAGGCCTACAATAATTTTTTTAAAATTATAATTTTTAAACTCTCATTTTGTCCGTATTAAAAAAAAACTGCAGCTGAAATAAAAATCGTGCAGTGGGGACCCTCATTATCCATAATATAGGGGAATGGGCACACGGGAGGGACTAAGGCTAAAGGTGTAGTGACGTCATATATTCTCTAGTGGCTAATGTCTTCTCTTGAGGCAACACGATTACCGTAACGAAGCGATTTGTTTTCAGCTGCGTTCGTGACATAGTTGGTAGAGTTTCGGATTGATGTACAGGAGGACCCGTGTTCGAATCCCGCTGGCAGCACTAACTTTTTGTCAACAAATTTTTGGGAGGCCTTCTTTTAGGCAACCTTTCACCTAGGTACCATTTCACTTAAATCACATATCAAGTTGGTACCGACAACTCAAATCGGTCAGCTAGGTCCCGGCCCCTCCCTTCTGGGGGAAGGGCGTGGCTTCGCCGTGGTCACGTGTTTCGCGGTGCGGTCGCTTACCCTCTACATTTCTGAAAATTCCCGCGACTTCTTTGAATTACCTCTACTCCACCCAAATTTCAGCCTTCCTTCGTCTCGTTTCTTGTTCTGTTCTGCTCTGCGTTTCTTCTTCTTCTTCTCTTCTAGATCTGCTGCTGCTCTAGCTCTAGCTCTAAACTGCTCTAGTGCTCTAGTGTAGTGAGTTTGAGGTTGGATTTTGGAGAATTTATTGTTTGTCAATTTCAATTGTCAAATTGTCATACAAATTTGTATTTTAGGTGTGTATTTTCAATTTAGGCCTAAGTTACAACTACTACAGTTTAAAGAACCATTTTTGTCATCACAAAATGGGTGGAATGAGGTGGATATTGGGGACTGGAGTGATAGTGATAGTAATTCAGGAGTTGAGATTTTGGGTGAGTTTTTTGAATTTTAAACCCCTATGGAAGTGTATCATAATTGCTACCATGTTTCCTCTTTGGTCCCGTAATTTTAAACTGTTTGACCTCACTGATTGTAACTATATTCCTATCCTTGGTTCGTCTGATTCTATTTTCCTCAATGTCCATTGTTCAAGTGTACCCAAATTAGGACTAAATACGAGGGCTACTCTTCCTTTCGGCTGCACTTTACGTCCTACACTCATGCGAATGAAAATATCGATCGATATATCGATTATTCGATAAGTTATATCGTTTGGTTAGTTAGGTAAGGTTACCTAACCTAACTAACCAAACGATATAGCCTATCGAATGAAACAATTGAATAATCGATATTTTCATTCGAATGAGTGTAGGATGTAAAGTAAAGTGCAGCCTTCCTTTCATGTTGAAGTGCCAGAACCACAATAATGATAGGCCTAGTCACAATAAGTGCCCATAGTCTGTGGGGACTTTAACATTGAAATGGCCAAGATGGAGGAACAAATCTCAATTAATTTCACGAACCTACTACGATCACTTGACCTAAAATGTAGTAGTAAATTCCCTACAAGAAACGATGCCTGTTTAGATAACATATTAGTCAATTTTTCTCAAGATTTTTATTACAAAGTTTCAATTTTGCAAGGCGCTTTAGCCGATCATGATCCACTGCTTTTTAAATACCATAGACCTGCCTTCAAAAGCTCACAAAATGTAAGCCTATCTATTGAGCAGCCTAGTGTTCTTGTTAGGAAACAAAATCTCAATCTTTTCCGTGAGGTACTGCAGAGCGAGTCATGGGAAGACATTACAGAAAATGAGAGTAAGTAGCTGAGTAACATTGTTTGATAGTTTTTTTGATAGGTTTGTTAGCCTCTGGTACTATTGTTCTCCACCTGTTAAGAAAAAGCTTAGATCAGATAATAAGACTAATCTAGTGAAAAATAAAATCACCTATTATAGTGAGTTTAAAAAAAAAGTAAGGAAACCATGATGGCTTATAATTCTTTGTACAAACATTTTTTAAAAATCGATTCTGTAAAGGCTCAGGCAGCTTAAATAATATCTACAATAGCTTAAAAAAACAGTATAGGAAGGATTTAAACCTTGCTAAAAAATTAGCCTGTGCAAAATACATTAACAATTCAAAGAACAAATGCAAGGCCGCCTGGGACATAATAACACAGGAAAATACAATCACGTACGCACATCTCATGTTACTCTTGACCCTAACAAATTAAACACATACTTTACAGATTCAGTTGAGGAACTGGCCAATCAAGTGGGCCAGACTCAAGACACACCAAGAGAACTACTGGAATCTACACAAAAATTGGACGACTCTAAATTTGAATGGATACCTATTACACCAAATGAGGTAACAAAAACAGTCTCAAAATTTTCAAATTCTAAATCTATGGATCACTTTTGGCTTTCAAACTACATAATCAAGAATATTATACACTACATATCTACACCCCACTCCACTGTATTTAATAGTTGTCTCCGTAATGGCTATTTTCCTGACCAACTTAAAGTCTCAAAAGTAACTCCAATTTATAAAAAGGGTGACAAGAATCTATGTCAAAACTATCGCCCAATCTCGATAGTACCAATCTTATCTAAGGTTTTCGAAGCTCTCATGTTAAAACAGTTAAATAACTTTTTTGACTCTAATAACTTGATGACTGATTCTCAATTTGGGTTTAGAGCTGGCAGATAAACTATGATGGCAGTCTCTCACATTTCCAATTATATTATTAATGCTTTTGAAAATAAAAATACTGTTTCCATGCTACTTTTTGATTTAACAAAAGCTTTCGACTGCATCCCGTTTGACATCTTGCTGGCTAAACTCAAATTCTATAGACTTAGCAAAAACACAATAGAAATGCTTGAATCATATCTGACTAATAGGAAGCAATATGTTAGTGTGGAGGGTAAACACTCAACATTGACCACAATTAAAGCAGGAGTTCCGCAGGGCTCGGTCCTAGGCCCTTTCCTTTTTATATTCGCCGTAAATGATCTTCCATGTAACACTCCTATCGAATGTGTAATTTACGCAGACGATACCACAATTTTTACTTCTGATAAAGACCAAACAAAGCTCTCAGAAGCTCTTTCTAAAGCAGAAAAGAGTGTTTTGAACTGGTTTTCTGCAAATAAACTGATCTGTAATCAATCCAAGACCCAGAAAATTGATTTCTCACTCTATTAAACAATCACACCACTCAGTAAAAATTCTTGGCTTCCACCTCGATAGTAAATTAAACTGGAAAACTCACATCACAAATTTGAGCAAAAAACTATCGAGAGTTTCATGTTTATTCTGGAAACTCAAGCCCTTTGTCGATATTGAATATCTCAAACTAGCCTATTTTGGGCTGTTTCAATCCCATATTCCATATGGAATCCAACTTTGGGGCCATTCCCCCCTTGTCCATGAGCTTCTACTAATACAAAAAGAAGTCATTCGCACAATGTTAGGGGCTGACCCTGCGGAGCACTGCAAACCACTTTTTATCAAACTAAACATTTGCACAATCATTAACTTATACATCTACGATGTACTTATATACACTAGAGCTAATCTCAATGAGTTTTCCACCAGGCAGAATTACCATTCTCACCATACACGAAGTAAGGAACAACTGGATATACCACATCACAGGCTAGCCATCACAGGTAATTCTTTCAAACTCAACTGTGTGAAATTTTATAATAAGCTGCCTGAGCCTCTTCAGGCAGACAGCCTATCTCTTTCTCTTTTCAAATCCATAATTCATAACTGGCTTTAGCAAATCCGTTCTATTCAGTCAAGGACTTTTTGAAACATAAAATTACAATGGAATCATTCACACTGTAAGTTAGGAATTCTCAATCTTTGTTAGCTATAGATATAACATACTTGTTGATGTTGATATTCTGTTTAATGTAATTTGACAATGCCTATTCCTGTATACAACGGCAATAAACTTTCTTATTCTTATTCTTATTGAAAGGTGTAACTTATTGACATGGACATGGTCATTAGAATATTAACGTTTCAAGCAAATTAAAATTAGTTTCTGGTAGCCTATCAAATAAATTGGGGGTACAGTTTCCTGGGCTTCGCTAATATTGATTGAAACTATCAAATTGAAAATATTGATTAATAATCAATATTTAAAATATATCTATTTTAAAATTAAACTGCACTTCAGGCCTTACGTCGTACACTATAATTCGAATAAATATATCGATCGATAAATCGATTATTTCATTCAATATATCAAGTTTGGTTAGTAAAGTTAACCTAACCTAACTTAGCTAACCGAATGAATCGATACATCAAATAGGCCTAGTCTATCCATTAGTTGCATACTAGGCCTACGCTTTTAGTTGGATTTTTAAACTCATAGAAAATTATGACTATTAGTTTTAATATAACTTCCGGTACTAGACTATTGATCGATTTCGAGCAACAAGTGCACTAGTTTTTTTTTATATTTTTATTTTTTATAAGATGCTGACAAAGTATAAAGTTTTTCTTATGACAGTTTTAGTTTACCATTTGAGTTTTTAGCATTTTATAACATAGCCTATACGTATTTGATACTCTCAGCAGCTGGAGTAGTGTGATTTTTTCTTTGATTATTGTGGCTTTACGTGACAGGTGGAGGTGGATGGCTATAACTTACAAGGTTATACATGGTACACATTAAATTCATAATGATTTGCCTATTTCGGTAGACTGGCTTTTTCGTAGGCCTACGCTTCATTGCTCTTTACAATTTCAAGAGATCTATTGTTCAAGGCGTCAATGGGCAACTAACCTAAGTTTATCGCCATTCTACCGCATTATAACCCACCCTACAGGGCCCGGATTTTGTAGGTAGCAAATGCGCAACTAACCTACCGCCAGGGCAACGGCTATCAAAACATTTTTATGTGTGATAATAAGGTTAGTCTAAACTTAGTTGATACTACTAACAAAATAACTTAGCCATCTTAAAGACATCAAGTAATTAAGTAGGCCCATTTTATTGGTCGTTGAATAATCACTGATTACTACAGACTTCGTCTGAGACACATTAACTCACGGTATATAGGCTACTTGATCAATAGCGATATAGGCCTATTATCACAGTCACATTTTTTATGCATAGCCTATCAAATAAATAGGCTCTATCACAGACGTTAAAATAAATAATAAGTATAGTTGTGCAGTTAAATAGATCAGGGGTAATAGTACTTGTTGTAATATGTAGTTCTACTTCACCAAATCCATTTCAATGCATCAAGCAAAAGAGTTGTAACCCCATGATTAGCCTAGGCTAGTCTAATAATATTTTAAGACATTTTTATTTTATGATATTAAAAACATTAGGCTACACTAAGCTAATGAAATCTTCCCATAAACTTAGCCTACTCGGCTTTTAATTTTTGCTTCGATTTTGACTGCCCTACCCGTCAATGAGGTTAAGGGTATAAGTTAGGCCTAACCTATACAAAATCCTGCCTTAATCTGAATGGGAAAACATTATTATTTGCAGATGATACAACGATGCTATCCAGAACCTTTAGGATTAAAACAGTTGTACGGCATTTGGATCATTGCCGGCCAATCTTAAAGGATCTTAAGCTACGTTTCCATTCCTGCAAATTTGTGCCGGCACAAATCTCCAAATTTGTAGGAATGGAAACATCCTGGCTCAAGTCACGGCGCAAATCTCTCATCAATTGATTAAATGCACCTTCCAATGCTCTTTTAGCCAAAAAACTTCTTATCCTCTATCTAGGTACTTTTCTTCTAAGTTCATTGTATGCACCAGCCATAAATATAAAAGCAGAGGCTGTTATGTCATCCATGGTGATTTGTAGAACACAATATAATCAAAATCATCCACCGAACCTCACCACATCACAATAAAAGAGAACACTGCCTTGTCTGCCAGTTGAAGTGGCAGGACTTGTGCCTGGAATGGAAACGGCATGACAAACTACGTGCGACATGTGCCTTGTCATGGTCTCGACATGTGCCTCGACTTGTGCCTGCGACTTGTAGGAATGGAAATGTAGCTTAAGGGTACTCACGGCGTAGTGCTTGATATCCTGACCCTAGAAAAGATGAGGTGCAGGCAGTGGTGGATCTAGAACAGTCACAAGGGGGGGGACCAGGGTGTCTGAGAGGTTCAGGGGTACCCCCTCCCTCCCCAAAAATTTGTTTAAACTAAGTCTTCAAAAATGGCAGTTTTATACCATTTCTTTGTCCTAAGTTAGTGTGACAAATTATTTTACGCAATTTGTATGCACTACTGTATTACATGCAGTCAAATGTATATGACATATATTTAAAAACTGCGACTGCCCCCCCCCCCCTTTGGATCCGCCACTGGGGTGCAGGAGTACTGTACCAGAAGAGCACAAAATATAGACTTTTCCTGCTGTCGTCTCAAACTTACCTAGAATAGCTATCCTCGTTCTACTATTAACTACAACTCATAACTGCCTACTCATTTGCAGGAGATGGATGCACCCTCCTTCAGAAGGCGCTGAAAGGAATACTAATTATAGGCCTCTGTACTCTGTAAAAGAACTTAAGGAAGAGCACCTAGTGAGATAAGTGTATGTCTGCCATATCATCCGTTAAACAGCCAGGTTTTTGAAGGTATAGTTTATTGTAAATATTATATATAGAGTTATTTATTAAATCACTTAATAATTTACTAGCTTCTGTGCCCGTGCTTCGCAACGGGAAGATGAACTATACCGCCTTATCCAAACAGTTGTTAAGTAGTCCGACTTTATGAACAAAAGCCACCAAATGTTGGCCTACTGTATAAAAACAATTATGACCAACATTGTAATTGCCCTCCTGTTTACGTTAAAATATATCAATAACATAATATTCATTTTCATATTTGAGTTGTTTTGTCTCAAGATCAATGAACCAACTATAAAAGGTATAAAATTACCTCAGTACTGCCAGATTGATCCTGTTTAGTCCTTATGGATTACGGGTTTTAAGGACTTAAGTCCTCATCATGAGATCTTGTACAAGAACATTTAACACTGTAACTTCGAAAGTGTCATCAAGAGTTTAAATGCGAAACACGGACATATACTATTTACAGTCATAGACGTTTTATGAACACGAGTAGGCTTACTGACAAAAACTTACAATGTCCAACCCCAACCTCGTGCGCACAGTTGCAGATGAGGGTCATGACTGCGATGCGGAAGATGGTTGGGCAGTGGACTTTGTACAGCTCGGCTCCTTGTTCATCAGCTGTTCTTGTTTTTTTATTAGAGTATCATACAGATCGTTAGACTGTAAACTGATTTTGTCGCTTAATAATGTGTTAGCTTGAATTTTGATTGTTTTATAAATTTCAAATTCTTCTAAAGCATCCATTCCTGTATATTGCTTTTACAATCAAAATAAACTACGTCATGGTTCGGTCCCCAGGTACTTATTTCAATTCAGGAAATTAAAGCCTTTACAACTATTATTCAACAAAAACTTCTTTGCACTAACTTGATCAGGGAAATATAGGCCTAGACAAAATATAAAAGGTTTAATTTACCTGTTGCTGATCCTGTTAAAACTGTTAACAGGGTCAGGCCAAGACCATAAAGCACTTCATCCAAAAATAAAATTATTGCGCACCCCATACAGTTGTTTTCTTGAAGTTACAAGTTCAGGCGTCCGATAAAAGCCTGTAGCTTCCCAATTAGATCCTCCTCAGGAAGATATCTACCTCTTGCCACATTAACAAGAGTTATTCTAGCAAGAAGAATAACTCTTGGTAATGTGGCAAGAGGTTAACATGTGTCTTTAACAAGCAATGAAAGCCCCTCAAAGATCGAGTTTGTGTCGCACGTTTGTAGGCGGAATAAACCCAGTGGCGGATTTACCATAAGGCACACTAGGCACGTGCCTAGGGGCGCCAGCCGTTGAGGGGCGCCCGCCGTTGAAGGGCGCCTGGCCGCGGCAGGCAGCGGGTAACGTGACGGGCGGCGTGCGTGGCGGCGGGCGCCAGGTGATTATCGATCGGTGAAGATGACTCACATTCATGTCCCGACGTGCAGATGCAGACATAATATAGACTGCGAGTAGCAGTAGCGAGCACAATACAAGTCAAGCGGGTGAAGCCCATGAGTAACTGCTATTTATTTTAACTCTGCGGAGCAGATTGGGTCCTCTAGTTAATTTAAATGCATAAAGTATAATAGTAGGCCCATAACGAATAACTGAATGGACACGACGAGTTCTCTGTTAACCCAAGTACGAGTGCGATAACTAATACGACAGACAATGACAGTGTTAAAGTTCAAACTGTCAATACAGTTGAAATCTCTGATACCGACAAATACAAAGATAATGGTTGAATGGTTCGAACGTTGCTATTGAAATTAAAAGTACTGATAATTGTGAAACAGACGTGCAAGTGGTAGATTACAATTTGTGTCTTCTGTTGTGCCGTAAACGTCATACTACTAGCGACTGGCGTATGGGTCACAATATTGGCCTACCACCGCGCACCTGTTTTGCGCATGTCAAGGACAAAATTTCCTCCCTTGCTACAGGAGAAACAAAACTTAGTTATTTTAGTTTCAATATTACGTATAAAACGTTTAGTTGCCTTGAATACTACCCAAGCAATTATCATTTAAAATCCCGAAATTCTTTTAAAAAGACCCTGTATATAATATATATAACTAACTAGGATATATATATCTACTAGAAATATAATTTTTAGGGTTCTCTGTTGTACTTTTACTACTGTAATTTAATATAATCAGCAGCCCTATTACGTGAACACCTAAATTCAAATATATATATATATATTAATAATTTCATAGAAATTATAAGAAAAACCAAAACAAAACAAAATTAAGCTGAATACATTTGAATTGAATTTAGTCAAGAACGGCAATGTGTTCGGCGATTAATTTAGGCTATTCATATTCATATTTATTCTTGTCTCGACAACAACATATATGTTTTTCTTAAAACCTATTAATACAACTTTAATATAAAGTAGGCCCTACTCATATAGTGACTATGTTTTTCCTGGAAAATGCATTAATAATAAGCATGCCAACAACGGGAAGTTTAATATTGCTTTTACGCTGAAACCTTTCCTCAATCGCGGAACACAAAGGGGCGGCCAGCCGAACGGGCCTAGGGGCGGCGCCGTAGGTAAATCCGCCACTGAATAAACCAGTTAAAAACTTTTAGTTAAGAGTACCTATGGTTATTTTGTTGTAAAATAAGACCTTTTTATTTGAAACTACCAACTACACCAACCCGCATAATTTGGTACCCCCGAGTATTTTAAAATTGTGACTTTCTTTACCAAGATTAAAATGTTTGTTTCAGGAAGAAAGATGTAGCCCCAGCTCTGGACAAAAATGTTATGGAGAAGGTTGGCCGCTGTACAGGGCAGCTATAGTTATTATTATATGTTGCCTTTTATTGTTATGTACTGTTTTTATACTTTACCAATAAACCTTATATTTATCTACAGCAGTTAATTTTGTTAAAATTCTTACCAGTAAACTTCTCTGTAATTTGTAAAGAAAACATGTAAAAATGATTATATATTTTATTTTGATCTTCTAACTATTTTGACAGTTTTATAGATAAAATATTCTTTTTTTAGATATATTTTTTTATTGTTCTTGTTCGTACATGTCTCAGATAACTATACATAAAGATAAAATGATATTTATATTATATATGCGAGTGCCAATCTTAAGAAGCAAAGTTAATATATAGCTAGTAAAATAAAATAATGTTGGTGTTTAATGACTAATGAGTGTACTGTAAAAATGAAATAAGTAATTCAAAAGTTGAAACAAAAACTCTATTTAGCCAACCCAATAAAATCACTCAAGAATTTTCCTCTGAATAAATGTTTGAACTTCATAGTATAGAGGTGTTAGGTTAATGAGACATAAGACTGCTTAAGGGTGTTGCTCAACGTGTAATGAACAAAATTAAATTAAGAAAAACAACAAAAGTAAAGCAAAAGAAAACTTTGAAAAGGCAAAGATCAACAATAATAAGATAAACAAATTTACAACGTTATAATTTACAAGAAAAGAATATCAATGAAAAATTTAAAAGAATGAGTTACTGACAAACTATATGACTTGTTTGTTTTACAAAACTTTAGTTATATATTTTATTCTTTTTACATACTGTTTATTGTCCCAGAAGCACACACACCGATACACACTCCGAAACTCTCGATCTTCTTGGTCCAGTGGCCCGTGGTGAACTCCTCGATTTGTTTCTTCAGGTCCTCCAGCTCCGAGACTTTCACCCCTCCATTTTCTTCATTAGCCCTTCTCATTGGCTGATTGGGTGTTTGACTTATAGGTTAACGATGTTTCATGAAAGTCAGCCCTACCGGTCATCGCCTAGCTCACGTCAGCTGGGAAAGGAATTTGTAAATCGATACTCATGCTACTGTTCAACTCTCTTCACACCAACTGGTCGACTATAGTCCTCCCAACCCTCGCTAAGTTGAGGCAGCCAAAGGCCGCACTAGATATACGCCGTGCGGCCTTGGGCTGCCTCAACTTAGGGTGGCGAGGACTATAAGTGTAATGTAAACAGAGTATCTGCTTAGATGAGCACCGTGGGTACGGGGTTAATCCCCTTTCTTACAATGTAAATCTATGTTGTAAACTTCTTGACATAAGAGAACTACTTTAAGGACAATTTATACTAGGCGTACGCTCATTCTTCCCGTATTGGGGGCCTAAGACATTGAAAAAGGCTGTGCTGGTAAAAGCGACCAGAATACACAGTAAGACCAAAGACCCTAGTTGTTGCCGCACATAAAAATTATACTGGATATATATCAGGTATGGATACAAAAATCATGGATGCTCAAACAGTGTCTTGCAAAGAAGATCATTTTGAGAATGCCAGAGGTCTTGGCACAGATGTGCTGAATGTCTGGCCCAAAGCCCAAACGCATATGGCGAGTCAATAAGAATCTGGGAAATAGTCAATATCCAGAGAATTTTGTTAATGCCAACAATTTTTAACTTATTCTTGGTGGAATCAACCATTATCTTTGGTCAAGTCTTAGCTAAGACATCAATAAGAGACTGAGTTGTTGATTTTAGGCATGTACTGTGGATGTGATACTTCCTGGTTTGAATTAACGCCCTTACTAGTGAGTACTTTTTTTTTTTTTTTTTTTTTTTTTTTTTTAGGGAGAGGTGGGAAAATGCATTTATGCACGCAGGTTGCTAGCCTGTAGTGTGGGACTCCAACGGGCTTAAGGCCCAGAGACTACCCACTAAAAACCTCCTCTACTCTTCGGACACTAGCCTGGGAACACTTGTCGCACTTCATCAGAACTAGGCCGAGTTTGCCTACGCCCGAGGGGCTTACGCCGTGTCTAGCCGTTTATTTCTTATCAAATCTAGACTATGTTCCGATCTAGATCATTCTTTTTAGCTTGAAGGACATTCCGGACAAAGTGCGACCAGCAGTCCCAGTTGTCCTCACCCTTCAGCAAGGTCTCACAGATCGATTCAATCGACAGCACCCCAAGATGTTGAATGGCCTCCTGGCGAAGCATATCCCATTGTGGACAGTGGAAAAAAGTGTGTTCCGCGTCGTCGGGAATACATGGGCAGTAAATGCAGTCAGGTGAATTCGTTTTGGCCATCAAGTGCAGGTACGACTGAAAATAGCCGTGACCTGACAAGAACTGCGTGAGGTAATAGTCAACCTCACCGTGCCGCCGTTCTACCCACGGTTGGACCTGCCTGATGAGTCTGGCAGTCCAACGTCCTCGAGTCTCCCTTTCCCAGCTTTCTTGCCACATCTGAAAAGTGCGGGAGCGCTCTTCTGTTCTTGCAGCGTCCTTTCCGATGTAGCCTTGTCTCTGGTAGATTGCCTTCCTCTCCGCTGCCAAGAGTTTGACTGGGATAACTCCAGCGATCACCAAAACGGCCGGTTCGGACACCGTACGGTACGCGGAAGCGACCCTGAGTGCCGCCTGACGCTGAACTCGTGCGAGCCTCAACCTATACGCCTCCTTGTTAAGCGCGTCTGCCCACACCTCTGAGCCGTAGAGAAGCACGGACTGGACTGCAGACATCAGTAGTCTTCTACGGCTGGACCGGGGACCACCGACATTGGCCATAAGCCTACTAAGAGCAGCAACACTCCTAGCAGCCTTGTCCGCCGTACGGAAGATCTGGTCCCTCCAGCTCAGCTTGTTGTCCACCATGACACCAAGGTACTTGGCGGTTCGCGTGGTTTGGACAACTACGTTCCCAACTCGTAGCGGAACGATGGTTTCAATCCGTTTTTTCGTGAGGATGACGATCTCTGTCTTGCTCAGAGCGAGTGTCAGACCATGATCAGTCATCCAGGCGTTTACAACGCGCATGACTTGGTTCAGTTTCAGTTGGGCTAGCTCAACGTTGCGTGCAGCAATGAGGGCTGCGACGTCATCGGCGTACCCAACTAAAACGGTCTCCTCTGGTATCTCAGATCTCAGAAGGCTGTCGTAGGCAGCGTTCCACAAATCTGGGCCGAGTATCGAACCTTGCGCGGCACCGGAAGTAACATCCATCGTCCGCGAACCATCTTTAGTTTCGTAATTAAGAGTTCTGCAGCGCAGGTAGTCCTCGATCAGCCTCAACAGATATGCTGGTACGCGGAAGCTGTTCCTCAACGCGCTCAACATATCGACCCATCTCGCCAAGTTAAAAGCATTCTTGACATCTAGCGTAACAAGAAGCACGATACGGCGAGAGTAATGATTGAAGCTCTCGGCACGCTCTACCGCTCTGTGTACCTCGGATATCGCGTCGATTGTTGACCGACCCTTTCTGAAGCCGTACTGACGAGGAGACAAATCTCCGGCAGCTTCCACGGCAGACGTCAGGCGGCAGCGGATCAGTTTCTCGAAGAGTTTTCCGGCCACATCCAACATACAGAGGGGTCTGTAAGACGACGGCATATTCGGGTCACCTTTCCCCTTGCTGATTAGCACAAGCCTAGCCCTTTTCCAAGGAGTTGGGAAAACCCCTTCGCACAGGCATGTGTTGTACATTCTCAGCAGTAAGAGGGGGTTAACTGAGAATACCTTCTTGAGAGCCTCACTGGGAATACCATCAGGACCAGGTGCTTTTCTATTTTTCAGGGAGAGGACAGATGATTCCAGCTCTTTAATGCTAAAGAGTGGAATGTCCCCTACCTCGCCATAGTCGAAAAAAGGCCGCCGAGGATGAGACGGAAAGAGGGCGGTGACGATCCTGTCCATGGTGGTGCCCTCCATGACGGAAGGTGGTGATCGGGCGCCGAGTTTCTGGGTTACAACCTTGTAGCCCAGTCCCCAAGGATCAGAGTCAACATCCTCCTGAAGCCTCCTCCAACAGCTAACCTTGCTCCTGATGATAGCCCGACGAAGAGCTTTCTTGGCAGCCCTATAAGCCGCTGACTTAGCCTCGAAATCCGGGAATCTTCTGGCCCTCATAGCGGCACGTCTGGCTTTCAGACAAGCTTTCCGAAGGTTCGAGATCTCTAAAGTCCACCAATACACAGCTTGCTTATCGCGACGGCGTCCCCTGCGTGGCATGGCCTGGTCACAAGCCGAGACAATCAGTTCCATCGTGGACGTTACCAATGCCTTGGCGTCAACAGGTGCAGCAGAATTCACCAGCGCTCCCCGTGAGATTACGTCAGTGAACTTCTCAACATCCAGCTTGTCCGTATTCCATCGGCGTGGTCCAGATCGTGATACAGGCGCCTGATTATGGTGTTCATCCAGTATATCAAAAACGATGTACTGATGATCACTTGCCGTGAGGTCTTCGATGACTCTCCAGTTGGAGATCCGTGCTAGTAGTGATTCCGACGAGAAGGAGATATCGGGGATCGTAGATGCCGGGGCGCCGGAAAGTAGGCGTGTCGCCCTCGTTTAAGACGACAAGTCCGGCCCTGGCGGCAAAGTCCAGGATGTATTTCCCCCGGGAGTTTGTAGAGGTCATACCCCACTCCACAGCCCTCGCATTAAAATCACCAGCAACAACGACATGCCCAACGGTACCCCGTACACTGTCTTCTAAGCGGTCAATCTTCAGACGGAATTCCCGAATTGGCTCGTTGGGGGTAAGGTAGACACTAAAAAACGTGACGTCCCTACACCTGACCCAAAACGAAGCCTCGGCCGCGTCCGTGATCTCGCACTGGTGCTTCCGTGCTGTTTCGAACCCAACAAGCGGCAGTACCAAGAGAATCTGGGAACCAGAAGTGTGGGTCCCTGTCACGGTACTGCTCGCTGATCAGAAGGGTGTCCGCACCGATCTCTTGGGCCAGCTGATCTAAGAGGGAGTCAGCCGTTCTGGACCTCTCAAGGTTACCCTGGAGAATCCTCACTTCCTAGACCTAGCCTTCTCAAGGTCGAGTGCAGCCTTGAAAACACTGCATCGCCCAGCCCCTGGAATGTGACCTAATGAGGCGTCCTTTTGGCCTTTCTCTGCG